CTGAGTTTTTTTGTGCGTGCACGGTATTCTCCTAAACGACATGCATAACTCAGTTGTTAGGTTCTATGCGACTCAACATACCCACAGCATCTCGTTTTTCTTTCACTTAGAAGGCTTTTCTATTCCAGTTTGTCATTCTGAAACTTAAAAGACTCTCAAGACTTCCTAAGTGTTCCTCCCTGGGTAGTGAATCTTCTCCGGTGACTTATACTAGCAAGCATATAAAAGTGGTGTATTTCAGACCTTTGCGTGAGGAAGTCGAGAATCAAATGAATTTATTTTCTGGATATGCTGATTTATATTTCTCGTCAAGAATAACAAGGTAATAAGCTATCATCGTCATTTCCTTTTAACTGAATACTATAATACTATTAATTCCTTGAATATGTACGTCCGAAAACGGTTTATAGTACTGATATGATGTTAATGGTGTACCTACACTGGTTGTAGGCGCTGTTGGTACTGTTGATGTCATCTCATTCATGGCGGTCCCCACCTTACACCCTCACATTAGTGAAAGGTTAATGTCACCTATGAAGTCGCCAGGGAAGCTATCTGCATATTTTCAACTTTTTGCTTTGTAACTTTGCACCAGAACGCAATCGCGTGTTGAAATTTACCTCCAGAGCTCAAAATTCTGAGGGATAATGGTGCGGACGATCGTGTAGGTGAAACCTACAGTGCGATGTTCCGCTTTTGTGAGGGACAACAGGCTTTACCTTCATTTGAATGATTGTGAAGCGCATCTAAAACCAGACCAATGTGAGTTCTAGAGTAGAGTGCTCGAGATAAAGTCTATGTCTGTTTTAAAAGCTGCATGACACCTTGGAAGGGTCTGTTAGATCAAAATGCCAAACTGGAAAGCCGAAAGAAAGCATCCAGATTTAACTTTCCCAGCAGTTCCTTGTCCGTCCTTGTCCATCGATCGAAAATGGTAATTTGTGCTGCTCGAGTTTTCATGGCAAATATAGTTCACAAATCAAAAAGTGCAAAAAAAAGCAAAAACCCCGATGTGTCCCATATAGAATCATAGCATATAGATGTAGAATCATATGCTCAGCACTGCACGTGTATTGGGCGAAAAAGGGTGTGGTCGGACGAGTTCTCTTTTTTTGGTAACAGCTCACTCCCCTTTTCACCTCACCATCACGACTCGAAATGGAGTGAATTACCGGCGGAACAATCGCATCATCAGGTGGCAGTTAAATGAACTTGGGTATCGCTCAGTGTGCAGAGCCGTGGTTTCTTCGCGAGCGGATTACGCTTTTCGCACGTATTTGAGCTGCGAAAGTAGCGTGTCCTCCTTGCTTGCCGACAGGACGACCATCTCCAAAGAAGGCGTTTGATCATCCAGTGGACACGTGACGTGCCTTTACGAGGAAAGGCTCATATTGGAGTTCCTCCATCAGTTTATGGTATCGCGCCGTAAAAATTATATTTATAGTCTTTTGTGAAGGTCGTAAGCCTCGTCGCAGTCCGTCAAGTTGGCGTCGGCCAACTGATAGACGCGACGAGCAGCTTAGCTATAGACCGTAAAAAGAAGTGGTTGATAGTAGACGTAGGATGTGATGTGCAGTAGGTATTTCCATGTCAGTATCTTTAACTGCCCCGGCTGTGCCCTGGATATGCTATCCTTTTGAACCAGCTAGCAATTGCCAACAGGGGAGTAATTTTTATACTCAGCAGGATCTCTATGTCCTTTCTTCAAACTTTGTCCCATGTGTCCCCGGATACTGATCTTGTCTTCTGGCTAATATTAAATTCACCGGTTCCACGAGGGCATCCGTCTCTCGAAGCTCCGGTAAGTGCTTATTACATTTGATTGTGGCATGAGGGGACCACTGCCAACTGGTACAAATAATAGCTATGAAGCGTAGTCACGGACCAGACGTGCTCAATCAATTTAGGGTTCAAATTTCCTCATGTTTCGCATGCAACATTTGTTATAGATCTCGTCACTCGATTAGTGCTCCTGAAGTGGGCTCAGATTCGCAGAGTTCTTATGGTTCTAGTCGGCGTCATACTATCGATAGCGCTCTGCGGAAACGAAGTACAGAAGCTGAAGAAGACCTGATCGCCGCTGTGTATGTGGAAAAACGACGTCGGAGTCAGAATAAGTCGGAAATGAGCGGCACTTATGACCATTCAGAGTAGGTCATTTAACAAGCTGTTTCAAAAAAACCTGTCAAAGTCCTGCCCTTTTTTCAGTGTGGCGCCGCCGTCCCGAAAACGATTCCTGTCGAACGATGAAAAGAACCCATCATCATCGAAATATGCCTCTGATCAGCTTCACAATGCGAATCATAATGGTGATGATGCTGGGCGACATCCTAGGAGATCAGTTGAATCTTCCGTAGCAAGTACTAGCAAATCGACAGCTCTCCTAGACGTAGTGGATCCTTCCTTACAAGAAATTCTGCTCCCTGGCGATGTGTCGGAAAAGGATGATGTGTTGTCTTCACCTGAGGACGATTTGCCTGCTCAGGACGAAGCAAGCACTCAAGCGAAGATTAAGGAGGATGTTGCGGAAAGGCTAAGGAACGCCTGTAAAGGAAGCGATTCAGTCCCACCAAATGAAGAAAAGTCTGAAGATACAGAGTTCAGAATGCGGAAGAAGTTAACTGCGAAAAGAATGACATCAGAAAAAGAAGATGACAGAGTAGGTCACGATTTTAATTTGTGCTTGTTCGTTATCGGTTTCTTGGTCTTTACCATACTTTGGGTTTTTTCGCTTTACTAGGTTGGTGCCAAAGAGATGCAGGTTTTTTGTTTTATTAGTTTCAACAACTTATTTTTTTTAATAAATTGAGGCTTTCACGAAATATTGTACACTGTTGGAGAGCTTATTCAATGCGCTTTCGAATGAGTTCTGACAAGTGGGTTCCGCATGAATTTACCGAAATTAGAAAAAAGAGAAATCTTCTTTAGTGATATCGTCGGTCCACCCTTTGCGCAACGCCAACGATCTTTGCATTGAGAAATGGATACTTTGTGATAAGTAGGGGAGGATCTCCCCAGGGCACATCATCGTTGGGGATTCCCCAACGGGGGGGGTCATATTTGGTCGCTTTAGGAGGGAGCATATTTTGTTTAGAAAATTTTTTCGATGGTTGATCTTTCTTTTTACGCTGCAAACGCTTTTACGGACGCTATAAGGGGGGGGGGCGTATTCAGTCGCTGATGGAGAATGGAGGGGTCGTATTTGCCTTTGCAGTCTTGGAAATTAGTTTTCGCTTGAGGGGTTTTCGCGGTTTTGCTATATCCCCCTCCCACTCGTTAGAAGCAGAATTTTGTTGGAAAGAAGAACTGGGGAAAATGTAAGAAGTTAGTAGGTAGGATGAGGGGGGTCATATGTTCCTCGCGACTTTTTTTCCGTTCTAAGTGACCCCCTCTCCTCGGTCGGCAGCTCGATCAAAGTAGGGAACTAGGGGCGTATCAAGCCACCTTTCATATGGCTGTAGTACGGAAGTGACCGAAATCCCCAGCCAGTGATGTGTCCTGGATCTGTCCAGTGGCTGTACCAAAAAGAAATTCGTGATCCACACCGAAATCTCACCAATAGGAGACGGTTTGGTTGTCTGCACCGGGCACCGGTAGCCATCCACTTCACCTTCCTGAACCCGGCTGAAACGACGACAGCAGAACAGTACTGCAGCAAATCGTGGAAATGCACCAGAAACTGTGAAGTAAGGTGTAGTTCGCTATGGATGAAGGGGCGTGACAGGCAGCGAGAGCGGGCCACGGCACCAAAGCCGGTTTTTTTTTGCCAGTTGTTGAAGCTGTTCTGCGACAGCACTTGGTAGACAACGAGTGATACGAACAATATGATACAGTGTTGTCCCTTGCTCGCCTCAACAACTGAACGGGTTTGGAACTGCGCCAAACTCATCCCGCCTGACACGCGAACTAATTATGTATGCCCGGCACTGGTCAATGGAAGGGGCCCTACCTAATAACAACGTTGAACCTTATGTCTCATTGATGCTGCGGCAAAAGCTGCATAATTTGAGCTAAGAAACTCCGGATAATCCAACGTACTCGTTAGCCTCTTCGCCTGCTGGCTTTCTCTATTTAAGAACCTTGACAGCTTCCTGCGAGGACCCCATCAGAAACCAAGATCATGTAAAATTTGCCTTCGCTCATCGTTTGTCGCTTCCAGAACTTCAGACTTCTCTCTGACAAGAGTGCGCTGATTCTGACGGCGATTACGTTGATCAGATACATTTTGTTAGAGCTGCGTTATATCAGTTTAGATTTTAAATAAAAAAACCTGCATTTCGTTTGCACCAACCTAATAATTGCCCTTTATTTGAGCATCTATATCATAGCCGCTGGTTAGAAATCGCCTAGCGCCCGTGCTATAGCTACCGTTTCTTACCACGTCAAAACACCTAATTTGCTGGAAAATTTCGGAAGGAGCAGCTTTGCCTCATGAACACGGAATCATATTTGCGTACCGTAATGCGCATAGGACGTATGCTACGGACATGTGCGAGAGGTTCTGTGTGACCTGGTTCCTGTGGTACAGGTGTTAGGCGTTCTTTTTCCAAGATTTGGTATTCGTGTTCATAGTATCAGAGCGGCCTCGAGTAAGGTTTTTGCCCAAATCTATCGCTGTGGAAAAATTTCAGCTAAAACTTGACCTGAATTCTGAAGAGCGTTCAGCAAAGGGTGAATGATCCCTTTCCTCGTACTTTGACTATTGGTTATCCCAGTTTTGCCCTTCCCTTTACATACGGCGCATATCTTTTCCCTGACGTGTTCCTGCAATTTTTTAGGTCTTAACTTTACTGCAGAGTTCCTGCAATTTTTTAGGTCTTAACTTTACTGGAGAATAGTTCTTAGACGCACGTTGGGAAATAAACTAAACAAAATTCGTAGCTATTAAGATAAATATATTGCTGCATTTCCACACTAAATCAGTCTGAAGGGAATGCCGCGCACTGATGCTGTTTCACCGCAACGTGGATATTTCAACCGGTACCCCACTTTGCAAGATTCCCGTTTTCACTACACCCCTCACTGCAGTAGCTTCCTGTAAGCGGAGGACTATAGCCGAGTAAAGTTCAGTTAGTTTTGATTCTCAAGTTTACATGAGAAAGTCATGGTTATTTCCAAATAGGGGTATGATTTGGTTTTGGAATCACTTTTTCAACTTTAATTACGGCCATGAATGTATTTTTGTGAATAACAGCCACGATTGTATTTTTGTGCTGATTGTTTGGTTCAGATGGCATCTCCTCCCAAGAAGAAGCGGAAGAAACGGGATAAAAGTCGGAGCAGAAGTCGGTCACGATCACGCAAGAGAAAACGTTCACGTTCGCGTTCCCGCTCACGGTCACGATCACGAAAGCACAGAAAGTCAGATAAAGAGGAGAAATCTAGTCGAAGTAGTGACGAGAAGAAGGAGAAGGAAGAAAAATTGTCAAAGAAACCAAGCTCAACGGATGAGAAGAGAGAGAAGGAAGAAAAATTGTCGAAGAAATCAAGCTCTACGGACGAGAAAAGAGAGAAGGAAGAAAAAGTGCCGAAGAAATCAAGCTCCACAGTTGAGAAGAGAGAGAAGGAAGAAAAAGCGCCGAAGAAATCAAGCTCTACAAAAGGTATTCTTTTGTTTACAGCAGTATTTCGGTTAATTTTTCATTTAATTGATATATTTGATACCGAGGGTTAGGACTGGTTGAGGGGCCTTTTCTTTCCTGCTTTTTTTCACGCCAAAGTGCGCTCGTATATCTTTTGGTTCCCAACGATAGTTCTTTTCCTTACCGACTACAGTTGTG